TTATGGGTGTTCCGACTTGGGGAAAGCTTGCCAATTTCAATTAGAGAAATTTAGGTTCTTTTGTAGGGAAGCCAAATGGTGGGATTCTCCGGTTTTCCCAGAAAATCAGGCATACTGATCAGGTATTACTGAGGACACCTGAGGTAGAGAGATGGGTTAGCCTTAGATTTACTGAGCACCTACTTTGTGCCTAGCCCTGTCAACCAGATTGATTGCACCCCACAGCACCAGGGACTATTCCCCCGGGGGGTGGGGTGGGGGGCGCCAATGAATGCAATAATCACAAACTCACAGCAACAAAGGCAGGGGAGACTATTTTTCCTTTTCCCCAGCATACTCAAATACCTAAATCTCTTATATTTCAAGTTCAAATGAGGTAAACATACAACAGGTGAGTGATGAAATCAAGGAGATTTTATAAATTATTAAACAGTTGGGAATAAGATCCTGGCTTTCCTGGCTTTGGTCAGAGAACACATGTCCCCCATTGCAAAGCTTATTCATTTATTTTATCACATTCTAACTTTCCCACTCCATCTTGCATCTTATTTTGTAATTACCTCCTTATGATCACAAATTTCCTCTGAATCTTAGGTCTTTCTAGTTAGAGAAAGAAGGAACAGATCCTTCTAAAATTGAGACAAAAACTAACTGCAACTCTCACATTTTCTTCTTTTTGTTTATGCTCATTTTGGGGCACGGATGCCTTGCTATTGGGTTGCTCACTAGCTGTTGGGACCTGAAAAAGTCTCCTGTTTCTGTAAGTCTCAACAGTCCGTATGTGTGCACGCATCTGTATCTGTCTCTGAATGAGAACATCACTAACCACAGGTAGGAATGTATATATGGACACAGAGACACATGTATATATATATATGCAAATGTGTCTGTGTGTGTATATGTTAAATGTATACGTGTGTATATATGTGTGTATACACACACACACACACACAGACTCTTCCAATAGCTAGCAATTGCCAACAAAATAAGTCAAGTTAGGTGTCAGACAACCACTTTCTAAAGACAGTTCTTAATGTTTCAAGAAACTTGAAAGCCTGTACTCTTCACCTGCAGACCTATTATGCCTGTGGCAAATCATCTCTGAAAGCCAATCCTAACAAGATTCTCTTCATCTGTTTAAAAACGAGAAAGCAGAAGGCTTGGAGGGTACGCATATGGATAAAAGGAACCTGGGTTGCTCTATTATGTTTGTGTGGTTAGTGTTATTTTCACCCTGCTCCATTTATTAGACAACTAAGACATTGAACTTTGAGAGATGTTGAAAGCACACATGAAACATAATCAATAAGGTATGATGTTTGAAGACTGTTAGGATATACTGATTATTCAGATAACTCATTACTTTTATGAACACCAATAGCATGCTTTTCTGAAAAAAAAAATCATTATTGTAACAAAAGTGTTCACTATAGAAACATGACACAAGAGAAATATCAAAAAAAATTTTTTTAAGGTAGAAAAATCTGGCCACCTGGGTGGCTCAGTTGGTTAAGCAGCTTTTGATGTTTGGCCCCATAATGATCTCAGGGTTGTGAGATCAAGCCCCGAGTCCAGCTCCGTGCTAGGTGTGGAATAGGATTATCTATCTCTACCCCTCTCACCACCCCCACTCTCACACGTTCTCTCTCCTTCTCCCACTCAAAAAAAAAAAGGTAGTAAAATCATGTAACATCATTAGACTTTCAGGTGCTTTTGTGTTTGTTCTAATCTGGCACAAGTGTTAACTGTAAGTGAATACTATTAGTCTTTCTTTTCATAAAATGCAGTCGTGACAGGGATTTAGCATTTTAAATATTCAGGAACTTATATGTTATCTATTTGGCTCAGGATAGACTTTAATTTTTTTTAAATAAATTTAATATATGTCATTTCTTCATTTTTTTTTAACGAAGTAATACACTTTGGGAGTAACAGCATTTCAGACCTGGTTTTGTTTAAAATATGCTCATCCTCTCTCCTCCTCCATAGTTTTTATTTTACCTATTTTTTTTAAGTAGCTTCCTTTTCAGAGCCTGCCTCTGAAGGTGGAGAAAGAATGGAGGCATCAGAGTCTCTTCCCCTATACCAGAGAGCCTACATTCTGCCCTCCAGCTGAGCCACACTCAGCATCATGAAAGGTCCTACAAAGCGCTGCTCTCTTGAGGATAACTACAACCAAAACGAAATTCCTGACCTCTATGAAAATGTTAGGAGGCTGCTGGCTTTAATTTTTAGAACTCTGATAAAATCCGGAGGTATTCTATTCACACAAAATAAAAATCAAGTCTGTCCATGCCATCTTCCAAGGTAACTTCCACCTTTTGGTTTCACCGACATTCGTAATAATACCCTAAAATATACACTTTTTCCAGATAAAACTATTAGATAATATCTTGAAAATATCTTCTCCGTAATGCACTAGGATTTGAATTACTTTGCCATTGGCGGTTACTAACCTGGACCAGGAATTCCCTTTGTAGCCAGTGTTTTTCTATTGTGAATTTGTAGCAGTGTTATCAGCAACCCAGTCCTTAACAGACCAGTACAGGAATAAATACTTCTTTGGGTGCCCAACTTTTATTTTTACTGCCAGTCTAGTCTCAGCAAGTATAAAGCTGCTAAGCCAGTACTGTGATAGTGACCCTCTCGGTTAGAGAAAAATCAGATTATGTGCCATCAGAGGAAATAAATGTTAGTATTAGGTGTGATCGACCGAATCATTTCTTTTGCTCAAGTTCCGCCCTCTGAGTGACAGGTGGAGGACAAAATGTCAAGAAGGAGTCCTGCTGGAACAAGTGTTTAGGATGGTGTTTAATACAGCAGAGAGCCAAGATACAGTAGGAGGACACAGTAAAGAATGTGGAGAGGGTAGATACAATAAAGAATTTCGGTTTATGATCTGCCATCTGCTATCTGAAAGAGGAGTAAGTTAGGGAAATAAGTGACTTTCAGTTCTCCATACATGCAAAGGTAAGTTAGTTATTACAAAACTTTTGCTGTTGTATGTGCTGAAAGAAAAGCATATGCATTTAAACATTTTTTAAAAAATAAATCACTCAATAGGCTTAAGAAAAATACTCTAGTTCATATTTCATTGATCTGACCTTTTGATTCAAGATCAGGGAATGAATCCAAGATGGAAACCAAAAAAATAAAAAAATAAAACAGAAATGAATCATTTCACCATGAAAAAGGCATTTCCAGTCTCAGCTAACCTCGACTAGTTTTTATTGCATTATTTTTGAAATGCCAAGAAACTGGCTTTGGCCATATTTGCCGTCCAACTAAATCACAGCTGTCAATATGCAATTGCTTGCAACAATTAGCTAAACACCATTATTTAACAAATTCCCTGGAAAGGGACATTGATGCTCCAGGTGTCTAACACTGAATCAAGTAACAGTCAAGCTGGGGCTGCAGCACAAGGAGAGAAGTTGGTATGTCCTTGCCCAAGGAAGGGGTTTCAAACAGCCATAATTTTTTTTGAAAAAGACACATTTGCCCTGATCCTACAAGTCCTTTCTGGTTTTCAGGAATGGATTCTGGGATTGGCTAAAGAGGGGGGGGGGGGTAAAGCCACCGATTCTAGATTCCTTTCTTAAGGACAGCAAGGGGACAGGAAGAAAAACAGAAATACAGATATGAAATGGTAATGGTATACAACATGGAGAAAAGAAACCTCATGGAACCTGCTAGCAATTTCCACTAAAGCAGTAAACCCCTTAACTGACAGAAATTCAGTACAATATACACATTAACAACTTCACCATTACTAGGGCTGCCGTTTCAAGCCAAAAAAATAATAATAATGAAATTAATATTCAAAAACAGAAATTCTCATAAGATTTGAGAAAAATAGAGTGAAAAGGCAATGTTAGCTAAGCTCTTAGCTAAATCCATTCTTAATGGCCCCCAGTATTTAAACTATCATGGATTAAAGCCATGAAAATAAAAATTTCAATTTGAAATTTTATTAGCATGTTGCTAAAATGGTCAATAAAAACATCAACACGAGAGGCTTTGTTGACACAGCTGGAAACCTGCTCGCCCACTTCTCAAACTTTATTTCCACTTCCCCGCCTTCTAAGATTTCTATGTTAGGAAAAGCCAAACTAAACATACTGGCTATGGTGCTGTAATAATGCTGGTTTTCTGGAATGTTGCCACGTCTTCCCCCTCCCTCTCCTCCAACCCTTTAAAAAATAGGACTATTTTTGAAATGCAGCCCACGGAGGGAGCAATCTGGGGTTAAGAATAAGCAGCGACCTTCTGCACAAATTCAAGTTCCCAGACGCCAGGTGAACCTTCCGCTCGCCGGGGGGCGGGGCCCGCGCTCCTCCCCAAGGTGCCTGCGCCACGTCCGTCTCCGGGCCGGGAAGGCTTCCTCCTGCCAGCGAGGGAGGCTCACCGGCAATCGGGGTGGGGTGGGGTGGGGGGGGGTGGGGGGGGTGAAGGGGAGGCGTTCGCTTCCCTCGGTGGAAAGGACTGGAAGCAAACCCTGTCGCTCTGCCCGGAGCCTGGAATGCGATGTCAGGAGACTCGGAGCCGGGGAGCTGGGAAAGTGCCGGGCAGCCTCGGGGTGACCCGCAGTCCCGGGGGGCTGGCTTGTGGAATTCGTTCTCGAGTGCCTAAGGGACGGGCTCGATTCCTTGGAAACCCTGCGACGTGGGGACACATTCCACGCAGGGGCCGAACTCTGCCGTGCAAAGATCGTTTCTCATCTCCGACCGGTGCGCGCGCGCGCGTCTGGGGGCGGTCGGTGATGGTTCCCGTTAGAGTCGCGCGGGCGGCAGGCACGGACCGGTGCACCCCTGCACCCCTGCTGCCCTCGGCCCCTTTCTCCTCCCCCCCCTCGCCTCCCCCCCCCCCCGTTACAACGCCAGGGGCAGGCGCACGCAGGGGTTCCCAGCACCGTCGCCACCGCTGGGGGGAGGGAGGGGGCCCTGGGCCCCGGGCCCCGCGCCCTTTGGTGCCGGCTCCGGACACTTCCCGCCGCCCGCCGGAGGGGTGCGAGGGCGCAGCCTGGGCGCGCGGGCCGCCGCAGGAGGGCGCTCGAGGGGGCGGGGGGCGCGGCCCGCCGGCCGGGGAGCCCGGGAGCGGGGAGGGGAGCGGGGCGCGGGGAGACGGGCGGGGCAGGCGGCCCGCCACGCGGCTACTCCTTGTCGTCCACGAGGTCGGCGAGCTCCTGGAGCACGCGCAGGCGGCCGCTGGCGTCGATGCGGCGCTTCTCGCGGATGAGGTCTTCCAGGCTGTGAAACCTGGCCGTGTGCACCTTGTTGTCGCCCAGGTGCACCTTGAGATAGTACTGCTGCTGCGGCGGCTGCGTGCCGGCCGGCACCTCCCCTCCGGCCTTGAACTCCCGCTTGCCGAAGCGGCACCAGGCGGCGAAGCTCTCCGAGTTCGTCCAGCAGATCTCCTCGCTCTTGAGGCCCAGGTGGCCGCAGGCGTTCTGCACCACCAGCTCGGCCACCAGCGGGCGGTAGCGGTACCAGCTATTCACCACCCGGCCCACGTTGGCCGCGCCCGCCTCGTACAGGCTGTCCTGGCGGATCTCGCCTTGGTGCAGGTGGATGATCTGCCCGCCACCCACGTACACGGCCCAGTGCGGGGCGGGGGCGGGGGCGGGCGGCTCGGGCGCCGGCTGCAGCCACAGCAGCTCCAGCAGGTCGCCGGGCTCGCAGAGCGCGGGCAGCGCCGTGACCGCGTAGACGCTCAGGTCGGCGCCCTGAGGGCCGCCGCTCACTTTGGAGAAGATGCATTCCTGGCCCCGGAAGGCGGAGAACTGAGTTTCGTTGAGGACCAGCTGGTGCAGCAGGTGGTGGTGGTGGTGGTGGTGGTGGTGGTGGTGATGGTGGTGGTGGCGGCTGGGGCTCTCCGGGCACGGAGTGCAGCCCGGCGGGGCCTTCACGCCGAACTTGTCGGGCTGGCCGCGTTCGTCCAGGTCCTCCTCCTCATCCGAGAAGAAGTAGGCGACCCCGACCCGCAGCTCGTCCTTCTCGATCCCCGACGGGTCCCCTGTGGGCAACTCGCTGTAGTTGAGGTGGGTGATGCGGTCCAGTTGGTTGCCCATCAATGACGCGGCGAGGCGAGGGCCAGCAGCGGGGATCTGCGGAAGCACAGACGGGAGGCAGAGACAGGGTCAGAGTCGGGCTGCCCCCCTCCAGGGCGTACGGTGCCCCCCGGGACCTGCCCGCCCGCCCCCGCGCCGCTGCTGGGGTCGCCCGGTCCTCCCCGGCGGCAGGACAGGTGCAGAAGCGCCCCCCCCGCCCCCCAGTCCTTGGGCCGACAGCAGACCCCGTCCGGGGAGCCGGTCCAACTCCCACAAGAGAAAAGGCAGGCGGCTGGAAGGCGTGCGGGGTCCCTGTGGGGGACAGACCCACCCCCCCCCCCGGGAAGGACCGAGGGGTAGGCTGGAAGGAAGAAGGGGCGCCCGAGGGAGGCCTCGGAGAGCGTGCAGCAGGCTGCGCTCCCCTTTCTGTCCCCACCCTCGCCGGCCCACCTCTCAGCTTTGCGCTAGGTCGCACCCCTCCCCTGACAGCGCCTCGCACAATGACAACCGGACACATTCGCAGACACTCACTTGACCCCAGCACGATCTTGTTCACTTGGAGGAGTCCAGGCACTGACAGGCTGGCTGAGACACTCGTGTGATAGTGTCACATACACACAATGACAAACCTTCGCGACGACACAGTCAGACCCCCACGCTGGTACACAGGGCTCCCCCCCACGCTTGCACGCTCGCCAGGGCACGGACACCCACGCACCCGGGCACACCTGCCCGCACCACCAGCAGGTGCACTCTGCCCCTTACTTCTCTCGCCTTCTCCCCAGCGGAGCCGCTCGGGCTGCGCCAGGGCGAGGCCGTTCTGTCTAAAAATCAGCTAACAAAGAGGAAAGGGAAAGATGGGGGGGGGGGGAGCCAGTGCGGTGGAGGTGTGCGGGGGCGGGCGGGGGTGGTGAAGGGAGGTCCGCTTTCGGCCACGAGACCCCTTTCCCTCCTACCCGGCACAGGTCCAAACAGTCGGACGAAGAAAACCCGCTTCCAAGGCAAAGAAAGCCGCCTCTGCGTACCCGTGATTTCCCTGCTCCCGAAACCCCAAACTCCTTTAAAGTCTCCTGGTCCCCATGGGTGCTGCGGAGGCGGCGGTGGCGAGCGGGTCCTGGGCGGCGCGGGGGGTGGCGGCTCCGCTGTGCCCCGCGCGGTGCGGTGCGGTGCCCGGCGCGGTGCCCGGCGCGGTGCCCGGTGTGGTGCCCGGCGCGGTGCCCGTGCGCCTGCCGCTCGGCGCTGGCTGGGGCGCGCGCTGCACCTGGCCAGTCCCGACTGCGCTCTGCTTCCCTCCCGCCGAGCCGAGGACTCTAAGTAGCCCGAGCAGCTGCTTCCAGGGCCCGCCCCGGGACGCGCTCATTGGTTGGGGCGGGCGCCCGGGCCCCGTCAATCTCCGCGGGAGGGGGAGGGGAGCGGGGGCGGGGCTGCGGCGCGCGCTCCGCCCCGGGCCCGCCGGGTCCCCGCGCCCCCGCGCCCCCGCGCCCCCGAGCGCGCGCAGCCCCCGGAGCGGCGGTGGGAGCCCCCGCGGGGAGCGCGCCCGGGGCGCGGCGCTGCTGCAGGGCCCCGCCGCTGCGCGCGTGCACCCTCGCCCCCCGCGCCCTCCGCAGCTTTCCCGAGCCCATCGAGTGCGGACTCCGGCCACGATGCTGAGTCTGCGGGTGCAGGGGAGCCCCAGGGCGCCCCCGCACGGAGAGGGCGGCGCGGGGCGGGGAGCGACGTTGTCGGGGGCGGGCCCCTGCCCCCCATCCTCCCCCGCTCCGCGAGGCGCCCCGGGGAGTCTCGCTTCCCGGGGGCCCCGGGCTGCTCCTCCTCGGCACGCCAGCACCCCTGCCTTCCAGACGGTGCCTCCGACGCCCGGTTCCTCTCTGATCCGGCTGCTGCTGACCGAGCGCTGCGCCCGCTTTCAGAGGAGCACCTTTGACAACCGCGACTGAAAAATCCCAGCCTGGGCCAGCCCTCCCCCTAATCGGGCCTATACTTTGGGGCTGCAATGTTCTGGGGAAGAGTGCGTCACAAATGCCTACAGCCAAGCCCCAGAGCTGCCTTTGCTTAGGGGTTTTTGTCTGGTTTTGTGGCAGAGGGGTGTCCGTCCGGCCCAGGCGTCCTTAACGATTGCATTTCTGGATGGAAAGTAAATGAATGAATGGGCTCTGGATATTGGATGTTGAAAGCAGACTTTCATACATAAGGCATTCTGTCTGGATCAATAGTTTAAAAGGGCTCGTGACACTAAGCTTTGAAGCGTCCTCAGACACTTGGTTCTACTTTCAAGACGGCACCTGGGGCTTTATGGTGAAGCTTATTATGCCCTTTCCCCGGGGAGAATTGGGTGCTCCCTCTTTGTGTCCCCTTGGCAGCTGGCACGAACTCTCAGAACTCTGACTCTTTTTTTTTTTTTTTTTTAATTACAAACCTGTGTTGACTTTCTTGCTCTTTACAAAGTGAACAGCTGGAGGACTGGCAGGCGCTCTCCACAACTTTAAATTCTGGACCTCTTTGGCAGTGCCGGCTGTACCACGGGTTCCATCAGCAATGACAGAGATGGAAGGAAAACAGCCTGACTGCTTGTCAGTGGGGAGGCGCCGGGCTAAGGGGTTTAAGTGGGTGATTTCATCTTCATGCCTCTGGAGAGGATTCTCTAATACCGCCCACTGCCCTGTGTGAGGAAGCCAGGCCCAGATACCAGTGCCAGCAATCTCTCTCTCTCTCTAGGGCCTGTGGGCCTCCAGAGCCAGTCTTTACCCTGGCTACACTGTTCATTGTGTTAATAAAATCTTGCTTCATAAAATCGGAAAACTGATGTCCCAGAGGAGCTACCTGAAGACTGATGGCACATTTTTATTATTACTATTTCTTTTTTGGTAGACAATTCTGCCTAAGTATTGTTGAACTGTCTTCTTATTGTCTCTATATATCCCATAGCCTCCAAATGCAGTGACTTATCAAAATGTCTAATAAATATCGTTGAAAGAAATGGTTTTAAAATGACCATCCTGGGCAGCCCCGGTGGCCCAGCGGTTTAGTGCCTCCTTTGGCCCAGGGAGTGATCCTGGAGACCCACGTCCGGCTCCCCGCATGGAGCCTGCTTCTTCCTCTGCCTCTCTCTCTCTCTCTCTGTCATGAATAAATAAATAAAATCTTTAAAAAGAAAACCAAAAAATTACCATCCGCGTGCATTTGACATACATAGATCTTTTCAGAAATTCGGCCACGTGCAAGTTATAAAAATACAAGTTACCAGCCTTGGAACCAGCCAAAGGTTGTGATGATTTTTTTTTAATACTCTTTATAAATAATAAACAATTCTTTTGGGCCCCGAAGTCAAGGGAATTGAACAGCTGGCTTCAGAAATCAAGAAGTGAGTCATTGGTCAGGTTGTAAACTGGACTCAGTGATCTCTGGGAGGGAGTATCTGAAGAGTTCATTATTGGTGTCTGAGAGAGGGACTCCTTGAAAGTAGCCCAGTGCTTGGTGTTGAGGTGCCACCTCTCTGTCGCCCTCTCTCTAAGTCTCTCTCTCTCCCTCTCCCTCTCTGTCAGTCCTCTGTCCAACCTAAGATCAAGTCTTATGCACAAATATGTACAACGTATTTGCTGGGATGCCGTGTTTTGTCTTACTTGTCCTGTCATCTACTGTTCCAGACTACAGAGTAAGCGGCTTCTTCCTCTTTGCTTATCAGCACCCCAACATTCTAAAGGACAGTGAACAAAAAATATTGTTGGAGCTTCAAAATATAGTGCCAAAAGTCTAAAACATCAATACATGACTCTTCGAATTTTCTTTCCATCCCCTCCCCCTGCCAGGGTAAAAAAGCTTACAGCTTTAGGAATCTCAAGGGAGAATAAATAGCCTGAGAGCCCACGTAGAAATATAAAGCAGAGAACACACTGACTGAGGAATGGAAGAGGAATTCAAGTAAAATAAGGAAAATGCATCTACTCTTTGTAGCCTCTTGGCAATGACAAAGATAATAAAGTAAGGAATAGGCCAGTCAACTCAATGGGTTCCAACATCAGAAAACCCGACTTTTATTCTCATCACAAAATATTGTTTGCTAATTGTTTTTGTCTATTATTCCTCACCCCATCCTGCCTTTTTATACTGAGGAAATACCATTTTCCAGGAAAAAAAAAATACAGTCATCGAAAGTACAAACTCTGGAAGCCAATTAGTTTGAATTTTCCTTCAACGTTTTCTATCTGGGCAACTTTGAGTGTGTCACTCAACCTTTCTGGGCGGTCAGTTTCTTATCTGTAAAATGTGATACAATAGCATCTGTCTCGTTATAGTGTGTGAGACCTTGTGTGCACACACACTGCCTGGCACACAGTGGTCTTTCAGTAAACGCTACCTATTATTAGCTATTTGTGGAAGAGGGGAGTGGGTCCCATGTCCTACCTGTTATGACAGCTGTCCAGTTCTGTGTGTCCACTGCCCTAGGAGAAAGCTAACCTGGGATGGATCATCCGACGCTGTCCCTGGCTAGGGTATGGGACTGCTTCTTTGTTGAGGTGGCAAGAGCCCTGTCTAGCCGGAGACTAGTTCAATGTCTAAAGCTCTGAGGTTGATCACAGCCTGTGTCCTGCAGTATTTTTACATGAACATTTTCTTTTGTGAGGAATATATACAGAAGGCGGTTGGCAGAGGAATGATTAGGGTCATCATATATATGATATATATATATATATATATATATATCATTATTTTGCATATATATAATATATATATTTTTGCATATATAATATATATATATATATATATATATTGCATTTTTCCATTGGTGCCATCTGGTGTATCATCTTCCTCTTTTTCCTCTTGCCTTCTTTAGCAATACATGAAAGGCTTTTCCCCAAATTTTACTGATCAGGCCCTTGAGTCAAAGTGTTACCCTTTAAAATGGGCCCAAGAACGGAAGGAATGTTTATTTTCTGACACTGTTTGCTAAATATTGTTTTTTTTCTGTTTAAAATTGCATATCATACTTGAACATTTAGGCTTTCATAAACTGTTCCTTTCCCTGTCCTTGACCTCCCTAGACCCCCAACATACTCACCCAGATCTCAGCTAAAGAGCACTCTGTACCTGTCCGGGGCAGAGACAGTACCATGGCTTCCCCAACCCCATTGCCATTCCTCTGGGCACACAGCTGAATGGCATGCCCCTGCCTAGCATCCAGTTCCACGGGCACCATCTGAATGAGTCTGACCAGTGGAATGAGGGTGGAAGTTTAGAAAGCTTGGCCCCTGAAAGTGAAATCATTAACATGATCTTCCGTGCGCTTGTTTTATCCTATTTGGTCCTATGCGGAGGATCCTGGTAGAGTCCTAAGCATTTAAAAGATGACAGAGCCACTAGATGGAAGGAGGCAGGGGTTCCTGAATATGAGTAGAGCAGGAGATTTCTCCTCCCAAACAGGAGAATTTTTTTTTCCCAGAGTTTAGGACTTTTAATTTGTCCCAAAGTTGCTGAAGCAAAAATCATGATAAAACATTCTGCTTTCTTTTACACCCCCCAACGCAAAAAAAAAAAATTGTAGGAAAAAAATGGTTTTGTACATGGGAAGAAACCATATAAATTCAAAACTTACAGATAAGGATTAGCTCTATGACTCATCTCTTTAAAAAGTTTATATGAATATCCAGTCAAAACCAACAGGGTTTCTCCCTTGAAATGTTATCTATACGAATTTCCAAGTAGACCACAGGACTGCATACGGTTTTGAGATGTCCTCAGAAGACTCTGTCATTGATCAGGTAACAGAGTAAAAGCCCCAGAGTCCCTTTCTTTCAAACAGAAGAGGGAAAGACAGAGGGATGGAAGAAACTACTCCAACTTCGTCTTCTTTCCTTGTGGCTTGTGGTTTCCCCCTCCTCCTCCTCTGCCTCCTCAGAAACCTCCTTGCCCTCCAAAGCCTCCCCAGCCTCTGCCACCAAATCCACCTCGGCCTCTTCTGCCACCACCTCGGCCTCCAAAGCCACCCCGGCCTCCACCACGGCCTCCAAAGCCGCCTTCACCCTTAGGTTTGGCCCAGTCCAAAGTAATTTTGTTTCCATCTATTTCACCATCTTCCATGGCCTGCTTGGCAGCTTTGGCATCTTCCTCACTGTTGAAGTCTACTGAGCCAAACCCTTTGGGGACCCAGTCTCCCGGTCGGTGACTATCCTTGCCCTAACAGAGCCATCGAACGACTCCCAAACAATCTGCATCAAACTGTGATGTGAGGGGGAAACAAAATCTTTCTGAGTGAAGCCACCCAAAGTTTTGTGACTATTTGTTGGAGTAGGAACCTGTCCTGATGGGTATACTCTTTGTTATTTTCAAATTCTCTTAGAAGGACAAATAGTCTATCTCCCTCCCATTTTTCCCTTAGTGTCTGTTCTCACTGTGGAGATCAACTTTCCACTGATGGAAGTCCTGCCATGTCCCAGCGTGTTCCAACACTCAGAATTTAAAGCAATCAGCAATGGATGCATCTGTCTCTTTAGGTACTACCCTGTATGTCCCTACTATTTTTTTTTCTCTAAACTCACCTGCATGGGGATCCCTGGGTGGCGCAGCGGTTTAGCGCCTGCCTTTGGCCCAGGGCGCGATCCTGGAGACCCGGGATCGAATCCCACGTCGGGCTCCCGTGCATGGAGCCTGCCTCCCTCTGCCTGTGTCTCTGCCTCTCTCTCTCTCTCTCTCTCTCTCTCTCTCTCTCTCTCTGTGTGTGTGTGTGACTATCATAATAAATAAAAAAAATTTAAAAAAAATTAAAAAAAAAAAACTCACCTGCATGTGACTAACTTACCTGCCTTCTACTTTTTTTTTGCTGACTACCAAAATGGCAGGATCACCTCCTTGCAGCTAGGACTAAAGAGAATCCCACTCCCCCTTAACCCCTCTGCATATACTCATGCTCTAAATTTCTAGTTCTTCTTAGGTGCCCTCTTCTAAGTTGGGATTCCATGTTGTCAAATTTTCCTAGTTCTTTCCCATAACTGGACATTCTTAACCAAAAAAAAATTTGTTGTTGGTTTTTTGTTTTGTTTTTGTTTTTAGTGGCTTCTTATCATTTTGCCTTTGCCTTTAAAGACTCATAAACGTTCCCTGGACAAAACTATCAGCACTTGTGCATTTAATCTGTCCTTGGATGTGAATTATACAAAGGTGTCTCAGCCCAGGATTAATCATTTCTTTGTGTTCTTTTCAGATTTTAGGAGAGTGCATGCCTTTTACGTGGGGCCACTTCCATATGATGGTCATGGGAGAGCTCTGGGTAGGCCTGTGTCACTATCACACACATGCTGCTGGCTTTTTCTTCTGTTTGGAATATCCTTCCCTGCCATCCTAATGTAACTACTAATCAAAATTTATAACCCGTTCAAGCATCAAGCCCTCACATGTGTCGGTCCCCTTGCCCATTGTAATGGAGACTATCCTTTATGGTCTCATAGGACATGAGAGCATGTCCATTATACTGGTCATGAGATGTGGCAAATGTGTCAAAACATTTACCAGACGGAACTAGTATCATTGATTGATGTTTTTTCTTCCTTAATAAACTAAGAATTTTTTGAGGAAAAGCTTCAAATCCAGTTCAAACTTATAATCCCTTAGTTGAGCCTGGGGTTTGGTGCATAGCACAACCTCCATGTATACACCTTGCCTGACTCCGTGCATGCATGAACCATGGTCACCATTTTATTTACTGAGCTGTCAGTGTTTGTTTCTGTTTCAGCTTTCACCTATCAGAGCGCCCCAACACCTTGCTCATGATCTGAATTACATGGTGTGTGAGAAGGCTTGCTACGTGATAAGCAGTGTCGAGTTTCCAGATGGTCCTCCGGCATCATCAGGAGCCTGGTAGGAGTCCAGCTTCCCAGGCTCTACCCCAGATTTAGTGCAACTTACTGTCAGGATGTGCTCTGGGAATCTGCATTTTAAACAGGCTCCCCAAGAATTCTAGAAGCAGCATCTCCATCGCCGGTCAAACGCTCCTCAGGTGTAAGAAATTATTCTCTTGGGTACAGTGAAGCCCTAGAAGAGTAGGCACTTAATAAATACTTGGAATTATATTCTCTAGACATTCTGTGGTCCATCTCTAACAGAAGCAAGGCTCATTTTAGACTTGCGTGTGCTAAACTGGTAAATATATCCATTTGCATTCAAAGGTGTGTGAAGTTAAGTGGTTTTTAAAAAGTCTTATAGCTGTGTTGGCAGAGCTGAGGGTTTCTCTCTTCTGTTGTTTAAACTCCCATGTCCCAGTCCACTTTTCTCTCACTTTTATTTTTGAGAGAGAGAGAGAAAGAGAGAGAGAGAGAGAGTACATGCACGCACACCAGCGGAGCATGGGGGGATGTGAGGAGGGGCAGAGGGAGAGAATCCCAAGCAGGCTCCATGCACAGCGCTGCAGAGCCAGAGGCAGGGCGATCTCATGACCCTGAGATCATGACCTGAGCCAAAATCAAGAGTCAGACTGAGCCACCCAGGCGCCCCCACACCTACCCCATCCACTTTCCTAACAGGCTGTGGTCCGAGCAGAAACTTGAGTCAACAAGGAATCTCTGCTCCCAGATGGTTAATACCCTGTTTGGCTGCTGATTGACTAATGATGGAAGTCCTGGGGTTGTCTCTGCAAAGCACAGCTTCTCTGCCATTCGTATTGCTTCTGAATTTCCTGTTAGCACAGTTCTTTTTCTGGGCCCGTTTCAGCCAAAGACCAGTCCATCTCCCCGTGCACTGAATGCCTTCTCTTTGTGCCTCCTGGAGGACCTCCCTCTTCATCAGCATTTATAATCCTACTTATTCTCCTAGCTCCTTCCCAATTGCATGTAAATGTTTTTAAGTCTCTTGCATCTTGAAAACATCTCCTGACTATACAAATCCTCTTAGATACACACCTGTCTTGAAAGAGTTGTCAGTACACATTATATCTCAGCCCACCCCGCCTGTGCCATCACTGCACCGCATGGCTCCTCCCAGGGGGACCAGTGATCCACTGGTACCGAATCTGATGGGTGCTCCAGGGTCCTTATCTTACTTGCCTTCTCGAAGCATGTGGCACAGCAGGCTACTTCCTCCTAATGGAGAAAAGATTTTTCTTCACCTTCCATAGTACTTCACCCTCCTGGTTTCCTTTCAACCTCTTTGGCTATTCTTCTTAAAATGTTTTGTGCATCCTCTCCTTCAGCTTGTCCTTTCAGGATTGGTTGCCTTCGGGATTCTGTTCTTGGGTTCTCTTCTCCATGTGCTCTCATTGCATAATCTTGTCTGCTTCTTTGACTTGCATCATATTCCCTAATGGAAATCTGCAGACCCCATCTCTCTCCTGGACTATGGACCCAAACATCCAACAGCCTAGGAGGCGTGTCCTGTGGTGGTTCCAAGACACCCACAGGGCAGGATGTCCCAGGCTGAGCGCTTCTGGAAACCTACCTTTTTCCCGTTGGTCTGTCTTCTTGGGAACAGGCACCATTGCCCTCTCCATTTCTCAAGCCAATGCCTAGGTGGCATCACATTCCCTCACCCTCAGGCCCCTGGATCACCATGTCCTACTCCAGGGCTTTCTCTCTCCTGTGTGTCTTTCTCATTTTTCCACATTCATCCATCCCCGTGCTGCCCCCCCTGGGCCCCAGTCACCTGGAACTCCCATCAGCACTGCTTGTAGCAACCTACCTATTTCCCAGACCCCAGTGCTGTTCTATCCATCATCTCCTATACTGTAACCAGAGAGATCTGCAAAGCGTGCATTTCTCCAGGTCCTCTTCCTGTCCTGCTCTCCACATGGTCCTCGGTCACTCTCCATCGATGTTGGGGGAACATCCAAAGGCCTCGTGGGCTCCAGGAGGCGGCCCTGCACTGCTCAGCCCCATCTTCTGCTAACTCCCCTCTTGCTTCTTGCTTCCTCCTGAGGCAGGAGATGCGTTTTCACTTGTTTCTCCGCTTAGTTCTTTCTCATGTTACTGATTTTGTTCTCTCTGTGAAGACTCTTTCCTACAATCTTACTCCTGGAAGAGGGTTTGTTCTTTAGATCTCAGTGTAGATTCCCTTCCTCCTGGCAGCCTTCTGGGACTTGCCACATCTGCCGTGGATACCTGCACAGCACTGCCACCACACCCTGTTCTCTCCCTTTGGCGCTGACACTGCCTCGTTCCTTGTCTGTAAGCACTGCAAGGCTGTGAGCTCATTAGGAGCCCGGACTGTATCTGTGATGTCCTTCCACCCCCACCCCCGCCCCCGCCCCCACCTGAATCCCCATCTCTAAGCTCCTTCCTTGCTCCCAGGTGGAAGCTGAATGCATATTTGTTGACTAGATCTGCACTGATAGTGGTAGCACCTGTGAGTCAGAGGAACCCCCTGTCTGTGTGTCTGTCCTTCTCTCCTTCCATTACCCTGTCTTCCCCTCCCACTTAAATTGCCCATACCACCTATAATCTCATAGGGCAGGGCATCTGGTAAACTTGTCATAAATACGTTGATAACTGATAGAGACACTTTAGAATTTAATAAAAGGGGGAAAGTGCTTATTTTAAATCAGTAAAGAGTAAAGTAGCCACTTAGATTTACATTTCACTTGTTCTAGGCGTTGCCTTCTGGTGTCTTGGCACATTGTTGTAACTACCAAGGCTGATTCATTATGTTATCCTTGCCCAGTAATGATATATATATGATGAGGTATTTGTTTATTTATTTTCTAGTTGTCAAAAGTTTGGATCTAGCCACAGATACTGCACATAGTTAATAAAGTACGGTTTCTATTTAAAAACACATACTTAAGATACCACTCCTACTAACACACACTCAGCCTATTTCTAAATTACTAAAGGTAAGGAGTGTAAGGTGTGCATATTGCCATGCTCCCAGGCCATCACCCTTCTGGCTCTGATGTTGTCCTCATGGGTCCTGTGACACTGCCTTCGATCGTATTATCTGAGCTTGTCCTCTTACCATGGCCAAGCAGTTTTCATGTATGGATTCTGTCTTAGAGTCCCTGGATTCAGATCCTGACTCCACTCTTATTACCCGTGGGGCCCTGGGTGAGATGCCTATTGCCCATATGCCTCAGTTTACTCATGTTTAAAATACGAATAATAATAGTATTTTTCCTTAAAGGGTTTTGGTGAGTATTAAGTGAGATTATATATTAAAACGCTTAGCATAGTGTCTGGCCCAGAGAAAGGTATTTTTGTTTGTTTGTTTGTTTAAGATTTTATTTATTTATTTGAGACAGATTGAGAGCGAGCATGAGTGGGGTGAGAAGCAGAGGGAGAAGCAGGGGGCCCCACATAGGGCTCGATCCCAATACTCCAGGATTGTGACCTGAGCCGAAGGCAGACGCTTAACCGACTGAGCCACACAGGCACTCTAAGATCTTTTTTTTTTTTTTTTTTTACTCTAAGGTCTTAATAACTATTAGGTATGACTAAAGAACTCTGCCCTCCTGAGTCCAAAGTACTTTATTTCTCCACATTCCTCCTTTATAAACCTTTGTATTATTCTATTATTATGATTATTATTCTACTAAAGATCATAGTGTTAAGCCTGAATATTAGACCCAGGATGTATCTTAGATACTGTCCATAATACTAACTTGACATTTGATTTAAAAGCATTTATTTTTTTAAAGATTTTGTTTATTTACTTGAGAGGGAGTGTGCAAGTGGGGGGGAGGGGCAAGAAAGAGGGAGAGAATTTGAAGCAGGCTCCCTGCCTAGCACAGAGCCCCTGAGATCATGACCTGAGCCCTAATCAAGAGTCGCATGCCTAACCAATTGAGCCACCCAGGCACCCCTTAGACGTATTTATTGAATTTGTGCTCTGAACCAGATACAGGGCTTGGGCCTGGGGAGTCAAGGTGAAGAGGGCACATTCCCTGTTCGCAGTCGTGCTCACATTGGCCTTGGAGAGCTGACCAGGATATGAGTGAATGCAAACAAATGGAGGCAATAAAAGTTTTTAGAAGCATGTAAAAGTCAGCACAGAGGAGGGAATTATTAACCAAGGGAGGGATCAAGAAGAAGCTGTTGTAGAATGGAATGATTTTTCTGAGCAGGCAAGACTGAGGCCTTTCAGTCAAAAGGAGCAGCATATGTAAATGCTCAAGAGCCATGACAAATGTGATGTCTCCAGAAAACCTCAAAGTGGTTTGGCATTGGTGAGAGTGTGAAATAGACATGAGCAGGTCGGGAAGTGGCCCTTAAGTGATACCGTTTTAGAAATGGCTGTTAGGAAGTCCATCCTGGTCCATAGTGTCAGGTTTATACAGAAGGGGAAAAGGGCCGGAGGTGAGGAGACCACTGATGAGGCTGTGGCCAGAGATGGTGTCTGTAGCCCCTCAGGCCGCTATAACAAATACCATAGACTGACTGGCTTCAACAAAAGAAATTTATATCTCATAGTTCTGGAGGCTCAAAGTCCAAGATCAAGGTGCCAGCATGATTGGGTTCTGGTGAGAACCTCTTCCGGTCTTGCAGACAGGTTGCCTCCTTGCTGTGCCATTGCACAGAGGAAGAGAGACAGACCGACAGGAGAGAGCTCTCCTGTGCCTTCCTATTAAAGGCACTAATGCTATCACGAGGGTTTCACTTCCCCCAGGCTCCCTCTCAAAATACCATCACACTGCGGATTAGGATCTCAACATGGATTCTGGGGTGACACAGACATTCAGTCTGTGGCAGTGGGTAAACAATCCTGAGGGCCTGGAATAAGGCAGAGGTAGCGGGAACATAGAGGAACATGTGGCTTTGGGATATCCACAGGAAGCAGATCAATAGGGATTAGTGACTATCTGCATAATTGGGATAATGGGATGAGTCAGGTGACTTTCCCACTCCCTGGATTGGACATCTGAATGGTGCCTGGGATTACCTGGGCAGACTGGCTGCACAGACCACCAGTTGCTTTATGAAAAAAAAGTATTTTTAAGGTGGGTACTTGACGGGATGAGCGCTGGGTGCTATTCTATATGTTGGCAAATTGAACACCAATAAAAAATAAATGTATATAAAAAAAAGAAAAAAGAAAAGAGTATTTTTACTCCTTGTCCTACAGCTCATAGCTCTGCCAAATATGAGCCACCCCCAGCTGCTTCTGAATAGCTGTCTTCCATTGTTACCATTCAGCGGGGCTTGTTTTCTTACTGGTCTTCAAATACACATTGCTTCTTGCCTTTAGAGCTTTGCTCACAATGTTCCTTCCACATCGCATGTGCTCCATATTCCCCACCTAATCTATCCTTGGAGGTGACTCTAACCTTACCTCCAAAACCTCCCAGCCACTCAGAATGGTGCTGCTCTCTGTTCTGTCTGATTCTTTAATAGATTTCCTTGTTTTTCAGGGGCAGATGCAATGCTATGTTCTCATCACCATCTCTCTTCCTAGGGACACAGGAAGATTCTCTCCAGCTTCCCCGTGGTTAGAGTTTTAACGTCACGTGCACTACTCCTTGCCCATGGGAGTGGGAGCTAATGTGATGTGTCCCCTCTGGCCGAGGCAGGGAGCAGGGTTGAGAACTCTCCAGATTTCACCTCTTCTGTCCGTGTGTTTTGAAGGAGGGGCTCTAACGTGGTGGGGTTGAAAACAGAAGGAGCCAGGGATGGGAGCTGCCAAAGAGCAAAAACTAACTTTCAATTCAATTTTATATGAGTGATCAAGACCAGCAGTAACAGAAGCTTCCTTGTGAACCACTACGATTTGGGGACTAATTTATTAACATGGTGAAGCATGGTCTATCCTGACTAATACGACCACTAGTATTGGTGTCTCTTACGGTGCAGGAACAAAATCTGGGATTTTTTTTTTTTTAAATCTCACTCTGTGCTTCTCTTGGTTCTTAATAAATGTTATTTGGATGGAATTGAAAAATTTTTGGTAACTTAACAAAAAAAGATTTTTTTTTCTCCTATAGGGGAAGTGATAACCCGGTGGCAACAGCTCTGTCTACTTTTATTTTCACCTCTTTTCTTTTCTCCCTTCTCTTCTCTTCTCTTCTCTTCTCTTCTCTTCTCTTCTCTTCTCTTCTCTTCTCTTCTCTTCTCTTCTTTCTCTTCTCTTCTTCTTTCTCTTCTCTTCTCTTCTTTTCCTCTCCTCTCCTCTCCTCTCCTCTCCTCTCCTCTCCTCTCCTCTCCTCTCCTCTCCTCTCCTCTCCTCTCCTCTCCTCTCCTCTTCCTTCCTATATCTGTCTCTTTTCAATTAAAGACTTGTCCTGCCTATCTGATCTGTTTCCTCAGGCCAGAGAGTGAGCAATGTTCATTGGCCACAAATTGAGAATCTCTCTTAGTTGTGTTCTACTGAATCATTCTTTGCATTCATGGGTGATAAAGAGAGAAAGGGAACAAAACTTGTCCTTCTATTAACATTCTTTGGTAGAAGTAAGCATGTACTTTTATTATTATTTATTTATTTATTTATTTATTTATTTATTTATTTATTTATTTATTTATTTATTTTGAGGGACACAGGAATGCTGACCTCAGCCAGTTAAGTGTTGCTGTGATACCAATGAGACTGGTCCTCCTATCCCCACTTGTATATAACACAATCTTTTACTGCATTTTCCTTAATATCTCTGTTTTGATGTAATGCCACCAATTTGAAATGTGTATATATTGCCTTCTGCCCTTGAGAACCTTCATCAGAATGAGATGTTTTAACTAAAATGAGACACTAACAATTTCCTCCTGCCCTGCTATTTATTTTGTCACAAAAACCCTGTGCATCCATGAGACTTTGATTTTTCAAGTTTATTATCTCAAAAGTGATTTTAGAAACATTACAAAAATAATACATGATAGACAAGCAAAGGAGAAATTCCATCTGGATGACAGTAGCTATTTATGAAATCCTCAGGTCATCGTCTCCCAGGTTCAGATACTAGTGGAATCTCTCTCTCAACTAATTCACAGGGCTAGTTTCAATAGAAAATTTGAAACACAGCTATTTCTCTTTTCCTTATGTTTATTTGTTTTAAATGCAAATTGCATGTTGAAACTAAATTCTTTCTTTTTTATTTGAAAGAAAGTTTAATAGGAGTCAAAAGGTGTTAATGAAGCAAGGGGAACACACAATGAGATTATAACTCTAATCTTTATGCAACAAAGTATCATAATACATATATAATGATATGTAGGAGATACACAAAAAATAATAGAAAGCAGATATTAATTTATATCAACAAGGTCATGAAAAATCTAGTAAATGGGACGCCTGGGTGGCTCAGTGGTTAAGAGACCTGCCTTCAGCCCAGAGCATGATCCCGGGGTCCCTGTGGGGGGCCCCCTGTGGGGAGCCTGCTTCTCCCTCTGCCTGTTGTCTCTGCCTCTCTCTATGTCTCTCATGAATAAATAAAATCTTTTTTTTAAAGAAAAGAAAAATCTAGTAAATAAGGACACCTGGGTGGCTCAGTGGTTGAGCATCTGTCTTTGGCTCAGGTTGTGATCCTGGGGTCCTCAGATTGAGTCCTGCATCAATCTCCGCACAGGGAGCCTGCTTCTCCCTTTGCCTATATCTCTGCCTCTCTCTCTCACTCTGTGTTACTTATGAATGAATAAGTAAAATATTTTTAAAAATCTGGTAAACAAAATAGAAAATGTGTAGCATTTCTAAATATATACTTATTAGTATTTGTGTATTTTTCTATTTATATATTATTTATAGATTTATTTTATTTGTATAACTATAGATTAACCCCCAGATCAAACTTTTCACCTCCCAAATAGAAGATGTGTATTCTTTTCTAGAACCCATAAAATACTTTTTAAATTAACCATATTTTTGGACATAATGGAAATATTTATGTAGTACAGTATACTTACACTTCAATGTAAAAACTTATTTTTTATCATATAAATTTCAGGTGTACACCATTATATTTCAACATCTGTATACACTACAAAGTCATCATCCCCCAAAGTCTAGTTACCACTCATCAGAATTCTCTCTTTTGATTATGGAAGGTGTATGCTTTCAATGCTTTGAAATATTCTTTTTTTTTCCCCCCACAGAGCCCTCTTTCTGGAATGAAGAGAGAATGACTAGGAGAGGTACTTTTCTTCCTTTTGTCCACTCTTTAGTGCTAACCAGGCGAACTTGGACCTGCATTGGAAATCTGGAACCTTGGGTCCTTTGCTAGCGATGCCGTCTCTGGGTGGCTTTGAATTAGCATGTGCCTTCTTATGGGATGGCTCTCTAGTTTATGAATCATGTAGGCTCTGACTCCATTATGGGTCTCAACCAGGAGTACACCTGAAAACAATCCGAGAACATCCTTAAAACCCACATCATTCCTGGGACACCTGGGTGGCTCAGTCAGTTCAGCATTTGTCTTCAGCTGTGTCATGATCCCGGCGTCCTGGGATGGAGTCCTGCCTGGGGCTCCTGGCTCAGTGGGGAGCCTGCTTCTCCCTCTACCCCTGCTGGTGCTCTCTCGCTCTCTCGAATAAATAAAATCTTAAAAAAAAACCCATACCCCCACATTCCTCATCTTCAGAACTACTGAATCAGAACGTGGCAGGAGGTAAGACATGGGTAGTTTTAAGGAGCTCTTCAGGAGACCAAGTTGGCATGGACTCATAAGTCGGCATCCTGTAGATGTAGGCCTTAGGAAAGTTTTGGTGGTAAATGGGAGTCTTGCAGTGGGGACTGAGAGACCCCCAGCGGCTGGATGCCTGCAGAAATGGAACCCAGCAGGGCAGGGCAGCCTAAAACCTGAGGCTCATCTCCTCTCCATCTGTATCACTATATTTGTTTTATGGTGTGTATGTGTGCATCTGTTTGCAGTGATGACGTTTGTTTTTAAATAGTTTCTTTTCTTACCCCCCTCCACCGACCACTGCAGTTTCCCAGCAGCTCTAAGGGGTAAGGTAAAAACCTCTGTTCTGACCACCCCCCTTACATGACCTGGCCTTCCTCCTAATGGACTAAGAACAAGACATTACTTTCTTGACCTTCCTGGAAAGCTTGCATGAACCCTTTTAGAATCATTCTATTTTATTCACATCTCTGGCATTTTGTCTGGGAACTGTCTGCTTTTTGAAATGGGGACTGGGTCTGCTGCTTCTTCGGGTACTTCTGCTCCCCATTTACTGGGCACACAGTAGGTGCCACATGAATGGAGTTGAATAAATAAATGAATAAATAAACGTAGGTCAATGGAATAGTGACGATGAATCAGTGAGGACGTTGGTAACTAGAATGCATTTAATTTGGAAGAGATTAGGTTATGTTAATACCTGCACCTGTCTTTCTAGTGTTGTTTCAAACTAGATCCTGGAGATCGGTATCTCCCCTTGACAGATGGAAAAGCTAAGGCACAGAGATGTCTAGTGCTTATTCATATAGCATGGGATGCAAATCCAAGAATAACTACTGATAATTAGCCTCTCCTGTTTGCATATCAGTTTATTGTTCACAACAGTGTGAGCTAGGAGGCACAGAGGTAATTTGTATTTTGGGGTTGAGGACCTCAGGCTCAGAGAGGGAAGGTGTCAGGCAGGAGGTTACTGATGGAGATGGTCTTGGTGAGATGATGTTACAATAAACCAGACAGACTCGTCAGTCCTGACAAAATGCTAAATACAATGGCTTAAGAACACATAAGGTGAGGAGCGCTCTAATGGAAGACAGGGGGCTTGGGGCAGGTTGGTGGGTGGACATGGAATCTGGGGTTTCTCCTGGCTCACCCATAAATGTGTTACGTCAGCTGGGGAAGGTTAATTCTTTTGTTTGGCCTCAATTTCTTCCCTCCACAGAATGAGAGAATCGGGCCAGGTTATTTGTAGAGTTGCTTATTAGCTCAACTGTACCGACTCCCATGTATAGGGATGACATATTCGAGAATAAGCACAGGCTGAATGGTTTTAGGATAATGGCATACTTTACTGATTTTCCTGATTCCCAAAGATTTTTATAGGTAAAATTGGGTTTAAATTAGATTATCCCCCCAGGTCCTTCAATGTTGGGTAGATATAAAGATGACTGAGATGATCGACAGAGTTAGAAATTGGAGTTGTTTGTCCAGTGGGGACATGGGGACTTACCCATGGGGAATGTTCCAGACCCCCAGGGGTTGCCTGAAACCACACATAGGACCGAACCCTGTGTCTACTATGGTTTTCCCTACACATATGTACCTATGATAAAATTTAATTTATCAGCTGCATGCAGTAAGAGATGAATAATTGATAATAAAATGGAACAGTTGCAACAGCATACTGTCATAGCGGTTATGTGAATGTGTGCTCTCTCACAAAATATCCTACTGTACTGTACTCACCCTTCTTCTTGTAGTGGTGGGAGATGAAAAAGTACCCACATGGTAAGGTGAAATGGGCTGAGTGATCTAGGCAGGTGACCTAGGGTTAGGCTACTGTTGACCTTCTGATGCTACATCATCTGCTTCCAAACTGCATCGACCGATCACACTTAACTCAAACCACAGAGAGCAGAACTGAGAGGGGGTAGAGCTATTGTGAGAGTTTCAGTGTCACATGATCATGGAGCAAAGCATGAAGCATGTGTTACCCTCTCTCAGGCTCTCTTCTCTCCTGTCGCCAAGGGCCGTGATGGAATAGGAATCGGTCACCTCAGCTCCACTAGTTTTATCATCTTGGATAAAAGCTCAAGTTTCTTCCTTGAAAATTTGGAATACAGTGCTCAGCCTTGTCCCTTCCGAGGGGCTCACATGAAGGTCGAGTTCCATAACGTGTGAGAGCATTCTATAAATCCTACGAGGCTCCACAAGGTGTCCTGCAGGCAGGAGGGGATTCTTAATGACTATGCCAGTGACCTCTGGTCTTTTGTGTGGCTGCAGGGAGAGTAACCACCTCCCCTTGCCTGGATCACTCAATCCTGGCCTCAAAGTTGGACTCAGGGACAAAAAGGAAACTATTCCAGTTGGTTTTATCTAAATCCCTCGAGTTAGCTGGCTTGTTTCCCAGAATCTCATCAACATGGAGTATGAAGCAACTGGGTTGGCCAGCTCAGAATGGGAACTAAATGCCATTAAGACCTCACCCCCACTGGCTGCTTTATTTACCTGCCCTTATTACCAGCCCTGGGTCTTATCACAGGGTACGGCCTTGAACGAGTCATTTTCTTCCCTGAGTCTGGGTTTCCTGCTCTTTCAAATTTTAGAGGGTTTGATAGGGAGATTTCTGGACTCTGCCCAAACTCTGGATTTAACCAAGTGTTTGAATGAAGAATTTGTTCACATATAAAACAGCATTGGGGACCCTCTAGTGTAAGTGTGCTTCCAGCTAACAAGTGGCTGTGCTGGCAGGGTGGTCGGGGGTGCACCAGACAGCCTCATACTGACTTTTCCCTTTTTCTGTTTTGTCCCCTAGCTGAATCCAGTGGGTTTGATGGGAATACGGACCTGTTGCTGGAGGTAAGCATGAGTCCCGCCGCACTCCCTGATAGGTGGCGCCAGCTCAGAGATCTTGCACGTGAGCTCTTCAGCAGCTAAGGATCAGAAGGCTCTGGGTTCAGAAGACTATGGTCAGGTCCCAATGAGCTGAGGAGTGAGAAGGCACCTCCCAGGGCTCTGGGGAAGGCCACTCTGCCTCTCTCTCCTCCACATGCAGATAGAACCCATGGTACTGAGCCCTGTACTCTCGATGCCCTGTCCCTAGGACAGAGATGGTCATCACACGCCTTACGAGCTAAGGAACTTCAATAATTAGATAAAATAATGAATGACTGTAGAAGGTAAAACTGGAAGCAAAACCAGAATATTTTTATAATGACAGCACAGTGATTTCTACGTGATCGGTGCAAGGAAAGGGACATGCTTCTCTCTAGTTCTGGTTCTGAGAGCCTGCTTTACATTTCATGTGGGTGGCCTGTATGTGACAGATCACTCACTTTCTGGTCAAATCTATTGACCATTTATGTTTTATGCACTTTTCTGTGTCCATAATGACTCTACAATTTTCACATTAAAAAGATATTAGGTGGGGCATTGCAAAGCATGTAAAACACATGGCAAAAGAAAGTATTTTGTGTTCATTGGGATAGTTGTCCCCAACTGCCTGAAGCTACTCAGGACCACTATCCTTCATCTTACAATCAGACCCCATGGGCTAGGGGAGCTCACAGGTGCAAACAGGTGCCTTCACAAGTAGCTTTGTGGTCAGACCAACAGTTCTAACCCTGTCCCTGATCCCTAGCAGTATGGACAGTTTTGTTGTGCTTCATTTCGCTTCTTTTCTTTTCTTTTTTTCTTTTCTTTTCTTTTCTTTTCTTTTCTTTTCTTTTCTTTTCTTCTTTTTTCTTTCTTTTCTTTTCTTTTCTTTTCTGTTCTTTTCTTTTTTCTTTTCTTTTCTTTTCCTTTCTTCTCTTTCTTCTTCCTTCTTTCCTTCCTTCCTTCCTTCCTTCCTTCCTTCCTTCCTTATTTATTTATTCATGAGAGATACAGTGAAAGGGGCAGAGACATAGGCAGAGGGAGAAGCAGGCTCCCTGTGGGGAACCTGATGCGGGACTCGATCCCAGGATCCCAGGATCCCAGGATCACCACCTGAGCCAAAGGCAGATGCTCAACCATTGAGCTACCCAGGTGGCCCCAGATAGTTTGTTTTTATCTGAGCCTCATTCATTCTTTCTCTTGCTCTCTTTAACTGGCATTTTCAGGTCCTTGCTGTTTGGCCAACACCATTGGGCATAAAACCAAAGATGACATGGTGGGGGCCTCCCCACTTTTGAGAGATTAGAAGCCTACCATGGGTAACATGGGTACCACAGGTAACAAATCAGTACCAGTAATCTTTTCGAAGGATTGGGCTTCAGTTTCCTCATCCGTAGGTCTGAAGGTGCCCATTCTTGGAAATGGTAGCTGTTGGTTAACTTGTCATTGCTGTCATAAAAGAGCACTGTTGGTGGGTCCCCCGCTGGCAAGTCTGTGGGGCTCAGGATCTCTAAGCTGGCTTCTTAAGGACAGATGTGATGTCAGTTGACAAAACAAAGCTGAGAGGGTATTTCAAACATGATTTTTGCAATTCAGGCAGAATGATTCCTTTTTCCCTGGAAGGCAGAGGAAAGAAAGGCCAGTGCTTAGGCCAAGCTGCCAGGGAAATACTAGTCTGTGTGGGAAGAGGTGTGCTGTGCTCGCCTGCTCAGGGCCACCATGTCTCTCTGAAACCCTACTTGGACCCTGTCACTTTATAAAGAACCTCTTGGGATTTCAGAATGAACCAACTTTTTCATTTTTAGAATACAAGAAGCAAAACTATTTTAACTTCCCCAAAACATTGAAGTATGCTGTAGTATCAGTAATTAGTTGTGGACTTCTACCTTTTGTAGGGTAGCATTTTGTTTTAACATAATTTCTTCTTTAAATGTTTTATTTCGTTTGCTAGGTACATCGTCAGTTCTTTCTGCCTTAGAGGTTCAACCTTTCATCTTCCTGCCCATGAAGGGCAGCTCTACCTTTCACGCAATGAGACTGTAGGGGATGATTTCTTTAAAGTTAATATGTGAGCCGATGTGCTAAATAAATCACAGGACTGATTTAAAAACCTTTGGTGTATATGCTAATCCCTTGTTCCAGAAAATTCAATTAACGTGTCCGGATGCACACAGCCAGACCTCTTCTCAGCAGGAACTCAGTGTTGAACAAGCTCTAGTGGCCAAACCTTATCTAGGGGTGGGCAAAGTGATTTTTCCCAACCCTTTGCAAAGGACACAAATGGTTGTCATCTAGGTAGTCTCATTCTCCTTTTGTGCCTCATTCTGCTTCCTGGCTCCTTCTCTCCAAGTCATTAATGTCCTCCTGCTGGACCTGTTGGCCAGATCCCATTCCTCCAATTGCTGACCCCCATTGATCCATTTTCTCTAGCAGGACACTCCCCACTCCCTCCCAACTTCTTTTCCAAAATTCCTTCATCAGCAATCTGTTCTGTCCACTTGGCTGTACCAGGCATTTGATAGATGCTCTGAAAGATAAAAGGATTATTCAGATAGTCTCAGCCTCTAAAGATTCAAGAGACCAGCAGAGGGAAAACAGCATCTGCTGAAAAGTACGGCCCCTCTTCGTAGGAAAAATGGCACATACACATTACCTTAGAAGGTCCTATAGTCTCTGAATAATGGCATCCAGATTAAGAAGCCTTGTGAGAATTGACATAATGGAACTGCACATGTGGGAGAGTTGAGGCACTTCCCAACTAAATTCCTACTCACTGGGGGTTTTGCCTCTGAGTGACATGATAGAAGAAAACATGATAGAATGCTATAGACATCAAACAAGATAGAATAAAGACAAATGAGAGAAGTCAGTGGAAAATTCTTTGTAAATTAGCATTCACCCTATCAGATCAGGGTATGATTGCAAATAACCAATAAGTAGTGGAAGCAAAGGCCAATGCACTTAATCTTCTTTGACAGACAAGACAGTAATAGTATTATTTGTTATTATCTGCTTCCCTTTCTCTTCTGGACACATAAAAGACCATATGTCTTTGTCTCCTTGCAGTTGAATGGGACTGGATGACTAGTCCTGGAAGTGACAGTTGTCACTCTGGGCTGACACAGTGGAAAACCCACTTGTAATTCTCCAGCCTACATTTCTCTTTCCCTACCAGGCAGGAGGCTTCATGTTGAGATAATGGAGTCACACAGTTGACGCAGACTGCACTGTTGAGTGACACCTGTACTAGAATCTGCATGAATGGACACATCAACCTTTGTGGTCCATCATGGTTTTGGGAGTTGTTTCTCTTGCAGTGTATCCTGCAGGAAATACTAATGCATCAACTAACACATCTCCCAAGGGCACTGTCCTGACAAGAGGGGCATGCTGATTTCCATGGATCTCTGATTTGTGGAATCAATAGCTTTGAGCAAGCTTCTTCCGTGTGTATACCTCTTGTTGTCCTCCTCTACATAGAGCAGAATAAAAATGTCAGCCACATCTGTATGTCAAAATAAAAATAGCCACATTTTGACCTCTCTTGTCTGAAATGTTGGTGACTTCAATTTGAAGGAATAATTGGTTGCAGAATGCCTTGCAGCCATTGCTAGAAGTGTGTGTTCTAGTTGGTTCTTTCCCCAGGAAGTTGTGCGAATGGCATGTGGGAGAGAAGAGGGTCAACACATGACCGCTGATGTGATTAATTAAAGGGCTTAGTATAAATGACCGGTGGTATTTAGTGGTACCTTGGAGGGATTAATGCTGGTTAAACACATGGGTGGAGGGGGCAGATTAATGAATAATTCAGCAGCTGTGAAAGGGTTGGAACATTTTTGGATGGAGCAATTAATAAACATCTCTACCTCCATAGTACATGTGAGGGATCTCTCAGTAATCCTTTAAATGCTTTCACCCTCTGTAATTAGGTAATTAGTTTAGGAGACAATGTGACAAATACACAAGGAGAATGAAAAATAACAAATGCATATGAATAAATAAGAACTTTGTATTTTATACCACATTGGTCCTTTCCATTTCTTTTCTTGTTCAGGTGTAGCAGTCTTCCCAGTGGTCTTACTGCCTTTCCACAAGGGTGGGGGCCAGCTGTGTGGTCCTAAACAAAAGTAGCACAGAGAGTGTGGAGCTGGGAACCCACTGGCACTCAATGAAGTGCCTTTTAGCTGATTTTTGAGCAGGCCATCAAAGGAGAACTCAAGGCTGGACCCAGGGAGGTCATCTATGAGGTGGACACACTGGCCTTGGCCGATGCTCACTGATGAGAGAATGCCTCAATATATTTTTGTATTGTTCCACTTTTGATTCCCACCCTTCTCCCTTCCTTCCTTCAACTACCACCTTCTTACTGATGTTTGTTCTCTTTCTGTGACCTTTGCCTGTCTTCATGATGGAGTCAGTTGCTGTGGGATGTTCAAGACTCGCCTTTGAGAAGTCCACAACTGACCTGGAGTTTGAGGAATGAGACACAGACCCATGAGAACTGAACAATTATGAGACAGTGCATGCTTTGTACAAAATGGGGGCGGGGAGGCTATAAGGAGGTCTGTGCTGACCTTCAGGGCATTGGTTCCAGATTATCTTTTCTCTTTTCCCTTTCTAATCTCCCCCCAGTACCTGCCTCCATGCTCTGCTCCAACTCCACAGCCTGCACCTGCCCCAGTGAAGCTTTAATCTTTGGCCATCATGAGGCTACAGGTTATTTTTTAAAGACATCACTTTGTCTATGTAATTAGTGATGGAAGAACAGCAGCTATTAACCCGAAATGATTATTTTGACAGTCAGGATGATGAGAGGACGGCTGATTGTTCTTTGTTCCTTGGGTTTCAGAGGTGGGACACCTTCTTTAGGAGTGTGAACAGAAGAGCCAAAATAAGGAGATTAGAAGACTTAGAAAAGCAAGGACCATGGGAAGAGGTTTGAAACGTACCCTGCTGGGGGTTTATGGCTTCAGGCAGAGCTCTGCT